CCCTCCTCCCCCCCCAGATGTGTATAAGAGACAGGGGGATGGAGAGAGAAAGGGAGAACAGCACAACCGTGGCCGGAAGGAGAGGGGGGCGGCGGAGGGGGGGAAGGGGAAGTGAGAGAGGAAACTAGGGGAGACGAAAACAGAAAGGTAGAGAGAGAAGAGCGACAAAGGAAAAACAGAGGAGAGAAAAGGAGAGAAACATGAGATTACGAGTGGAAGAGAAGCCATGAGGGAAAGAAAGAAACAACGCTACATGATTGCAATCATTCTATTGCGGTCGGGAACCCTCCGGGGGCAAAGAAAAGCCAGCCGACGAGACAAGGACACCACCCCCAATCACAAAGAGTGGGGGATAAAGCAAGGACCAGATGCATCCATCTTTCAAGCATGGAGAGGCCGAAGGCCACAGGAGGAGAATGGAGCAGAAAGGAGAGAGGGAGAGAGAAAGGGAGAGGAGAGGTAGACAACAAAGACGAAGAAGGAGAAGTAGAAGGAGAAGTAGAAGCGAAGAAGAAGAACAACAACAACAACAACAACAGGAGAGAGAAAAGAAAAGAAAAGACAAAGAAGAAATGAGGAAGAAAGGAGAAGAAGAGACAGGAGGGCAAAGGACCAGAGGACGTAGGAGGGGAAAAGAGGCCTCGGGTTTTCTCATCATGGCCGCTTCGAGAGGTAGTAAATGAAGGCGAAGAAGACAAACTAACCTCTACTTTAGTGGAAGGGACCTCTGCGGCCATGGCGCCCACCGGAGCAAGGCGGGCTTCTAAGGCAGGATTAGCACCAGGAGGGGCACTGCTCTTCACCATGGCAGGCTCAGCTTCGACTTCATTAAGCAATTTCTTGTAAGATACGACAGTCGGCTCGGATCCATCCAACTTGATACGAAATCGAAGGGCGCAGCGTGAAGTAGCCTGGCGGGGGAAAGCAGAAGCACTGCCACCCACCATAACTCCACGTCCAGCCCACGCCATGACGATTGGGCTTCTCGCACGCTTCCTCCCTCCTCCCTTCCCCACCCCCACTTCACCCCCTCCTTGCGCCCCTTTCTCCCCCTTTCTCCCCCTTTACCTACTACCCTACCACACCTCCCTTTCGCGCCCCCCCGCCCCCTTCTCCCCCTCGCACAGCCTCCTTCTTCCAAGCCTTTGACAGACGTCACTCAGACTTAGACTCGCCGGTCGGGACGAAGAGGAACACCCGTCCACCTTTACTACCTGCCAGGGATCGCGGCCCACTTCACTTTACCGCCCGCACGAGGAGTGTGAATTCCCCATATCCTCTCTCTCTCTCTCTCTCTCTCTCTCTCTCTCTCTCTCTCTCTCTCTCTCTCTCTCCCACACACATACACACAAACGCAGTGAACAGTTGACAGCGTTGACCGGTAGAATAATGTCGCTCCACGTGAAGTTAGAATTCCGAGGAGGAGAGAGAAAAAGAGTCTATTGAAAAGGAGCCAGTCGGAATAGGGTCGGCATATTTAAGAGAGGGGGGGGGGGAGGGGAAGTGGGGGGGAAAGGTGGGGGGAAAAGGTGCAAGCAAGTTCTTGCTAAGGACTCGTTTACTATTTTCCTTATGCTCCTATCCCTCTCTCTTCTACCTCCTCCTCCTTCTCCTCCCCCTCCTCCTCCTCCTTGTTCGGGCGGCTCGTTTTTCTCATCAACAGCCGTCAGCCGTAGCACAGCTCTTGAACCGCCAGCTGTCTTACCGAAAACATCTTCCTCCTCATTAATCAGCAACAGTCAACATGAAAGCAACCACTCCATTTTCGTATACTTACCAAAAGAACAATCAATACAGTCCCCTCCTCTTCTCCCCCTGGCTTTCCTGTATTAAGATAACTACGGTGTGTTCAGATGTTTTCTCTAGAGAAGTCTCGACAGAGAACCAAACTCTCCAAACACTAAACCACTGACCTTGACTTCCCCCTCGAACAACCTGGTTCATACACCTGGACACCCACATTAGCAAAGACAACACCTCTCTCTCTCTCTCTCTCTCTCTCTCTCTCTCTCTCTCTCTCTCTCTCTCTCTCTCTCTGTGTGTGTGTGTGTATGTGTGTGTACACTATACCTCTACACGTGCCTGGAGGAGAGTGATAGGTCATCCATGACAACGTTATGGGTTCCCAATCTGACCCACTCCCCTTCCTCCCCCTCCCCCCCCTCCCACATCCCCCTGTTCTTCGTCGCCCTCCCCCACAAACTTCACCTACCCTCCTACCGTGCCCTAATCCGGTGCAATATAGCCCCTCTGTATTACTATCGGTAGTACCGAGATGAAACGAGAGGCAATGAACTGACGCAGTTCTAATACAACGACCCACACACACATATCCAGTCCACGTGTCAGCCCACCATGGGTCCACCAGCCACGTGTCCCCACCCTCCACGTGTCCACGTCAGACCTTTCTCAACAATGATGGATGGACGAGCACAATGGACAAGCGGGGAGGCCGATAGGGCCAATCGTTCTTTGCTTAATTGGAACTTTCCATTTGCTTGCAACTTGAATGAATGTATGGATGGAAGATATCACAACAGAGCATCAATCAAAGCCAACTTCGGCAGGGTCTCATTTTCCCGCCAAAACCAACAGCACGGCCTTCTTTAGCCCGCCTTTAAAGGCCCGAAGCACGGCCACTGCCCTCCTCTTACCGCCGAAACCAACAGCAGCCTGTCTTTCATCCACCTGTCCACCTATGCTCTCTCCTCCTTCTGTGGGCCGCTACATGCACACCCACACGTGTGAGAGAGCAGATAGGCTCCTCTCTCTCGTCTGGACAAGAGGCACACCTATCAACTCAACTCAAGGAAAGAGGAAAGAGGAAAAAAACGGGAGAGGGAGACTGTTTGTCCTCCCATCGTCAATCACTGCTCAGGGCGAGAACTACAGCCAAACATATCTCACCCAGTGTCGGCACAACTCACTCTCACTCACTCCAACCACGTTGAGTGAAGAAACGGGGGAGTCGTCTGCCTCTGCTCTGAGGCATGAGGGGCTGGAGCCTGGCTACGGGTAGCGCCCTGTGACTCGAATCCGGGTGCCACGAAACTCCTGGACCCACGTTACGACCGCTAGATCAACATATATAATCGACTGGCCTCTCGAAGGACGTTGCTGACAGATGAAAGGTGAATCGAAAGCGGTGCTCTTGCTCTCTCTACCACGTCTACGTGTGTTTGTGTGTGGGTGTGTGTGGTGGGTGTGGGTGTGTGTGGTGGGTGTGTTTGTGTGTGTTTGTGTGTTTGTGTGTTTGTGTGTATGTTTGTGTGGGTGGGGGCGGGGGGCGGGGGGCGGGGGGCGGGGGGCTGGGACTCCGTTCTCCCCAACTTCTGAGTGAGTGCCATCAACAAAGAGCAACACTCACAGACATCCACCCACACGAAGGACCGACTGACACACAACGCACAACAGAGTTAATCGTAGAGACACACACGTAGAGAGGAAGGGAAGAGCTCGGCGTCGCCGTTGGATCTTCCGCCTAAGAGCATCACTGGTAAGCTGATGGGCATTCACAGTACGTGGTTTGATTTAACACTGCAGGGAACTTCGCCGTTCTAAGAAAACTTTCCTGAAATGGAGAGGAAATCCCCTCCCTTCTCCACCCCTGCTGTCTGGTTTGGGAAGCAAATCGATTTCCACTGCTCTCTCTCTCTCTCTCTCTCTCTCTCTCTCCACAGTCCACAGTAAGCACATAACATACTAACGCAACTCTCTCTCTCTCTCTCTCTCTCTCTCTCTCTCTCTCTCTCTCTCTCTCTCTCTCAGACACACACACAGAGGATGGCCCCCAGCAAGAAGCGTAGCTAGGAGCAAGGGGGCTACAATTGAGTTCGTACGTCTGTCTGTCTGTGTGTGTAGTCCTTCTGTACGTGTCGTCGGATAGGGGGAGTGGAATTGGATGACCTGTGAAGGTAGGTCTAGGTCTCTTGTTGTTGACTGACTTATCCAGCCTCGGGAAAAGAGGGGAGAGGTTCCACTAACCCGAATTCTCCTTTCCTGGCCGTAGATTGCCAAGATCAACGGCCAGACAGGAAGGACCCTGGTAACTGAGATCTTGCCCAAGCTCGGGGAATGACACTTTTGCAACAACAACAACAACAACAGCAATACAAATCCGCCAATGTGAGTCCAGCACAATACAAGGGTACCCACAGTCTGGCATTTGAGTAGCCACCGCATGGTATTTGTTCTCCCATTGGAATTATGGGCTTGGAGTAATAAGGAGGGAGTAATAAGGAGAGTGAAGAGTAACTAAGGAGTTAAAGCTAGCGACTAAAGCCCATAACTACACATACATACACCTGTTCGGTGTTTCAGACTGCTACTACCAATATACTAGATAAGGACTGCAGGACTCTAGTATAGTAGTGCCTCTGCTCCTACGGCCCACCAACAGGTAAAGACAAGTGGTATACGGCGGGCCAAGACACACTAGCAGCGTTGAGTTTCCTCAATGCCGGAATCGGGACATGTCTTAGTGAGGAAATGTGCATTGCATAAATAGCGTTGAGCTTCGTCGATCGCACATATCCTCAAAAACGTCCAGATTCAGGCATTGAGGAAACTCAACGCTGCGAGTCGGACTTGGCCCCGGGATTGTACATGCTTTGTTTGCTGCTCTTTACATCCTGTAGAAATTGTTAATGTTAATTATTAATTATCATTTCTGTAATCCATCCATAGACGGAGACAGAGACAGAGGAAGAGGATTGTTTAGGAAAGGGAATTAGTTGCTGGAAAAAAAAAAAAAAAAAAAAAAAAAAAAGTTGCTGGACCCAAGTACCCATGAACTGTTGAAATACAGACCAGGTGCTCAGTTCGAATCGAGATCATGCTGGAACTTGATGAGTAAAACCGACTACTAATGAATTGCCTGGGCCCGGTCAGCTCAATGATAATATCTCAAGGCCGGAAAAAAAAAAAAAAAAAAAAAAAAAAAGTTGCTGGAGCCTCTGGGGGAGAGGGGGGAGAGCGGGGAGAGGTGGGCGGGCACCAGGTCCCATTTGCCCGGTGGGCGAATGTTCGGTCTGGACCGTCGATTACCGAGAGTTATAAATTACAAAGTGAAGGCAACGTCAACAGTTCCCGCCTCGATTGGTCGATTGTGGGCATATACTCACACCAGGACTTTTTTCTCTAAGGATCTGGACGTGATCCATGCCACGTTAGTCCAGATTTGGTCGTAATCGCAGTCAGGTGCATTTTGGGAAGTCCTACAGGCCCTGTGTATCCATACCTGCACAATCGCTCTACCAAACCAGTGGGGCACAGTCACACAGAAGACCTTATCGATGGAATCTGGGCGTCTTCAGGACCTGATGCATCCTGGAAATCCAGGTGCAAGTATGCCTCTTCTGACCTGTTTCTGACAGATCCTGCGCGTGAGGCAGACGAAGGTTGCTGCATCCTTCGCCGTCCATTACCAGGATCTGAGGCCGGACCAAAAACCGGGGGGGAAAAAAAAACAGAACCCTGAGGCGGACGATCGTCATTTGAAGTTTGAAGCAACTGTGTGTGTGTGTGTGTGTGTGTGTTATGTGTGTCGTCCGTGCGCAGGAACCATGCTAATCTTCTCTCTATCGTTTTTTCGTTCTGTTTTGCAAGTCTGGGGGGAAGTCCATTTCCCCCGAACGCCCCACGTTTCAGCCGTGGATTACAAATATGGTAGAATCAAACGGCCACAAACGGAGATCAAACGGAGAATTCAAGTTGTAAGCGGGACCTCGGCCCTGTAGTAACGGACAAAGAGAGTTTTGCAAGACCTTGGGAGGTCTGATGTCAGCCGTCAGATTTGGACTTCTTAGGCTGAATTTGGCCGTCGGATGCATAGAGGAAAGCTAGGGTCATACCTACCTGTAGTAAGGGTGGGACCCCACTGCACAGCGATGCTTGGGGTCAGGAAAACATTCGCCATCCCAAAATCGTACCCTTCGGGAATGGGCAAGTGAAAAGGGACTCCACAGCCACAGCAATTTTTGCCACTTTCTGTTACCGGATCAGGAAGACTTGCCTTTTTGGGCAAGTTTGCCTCTGCTTTTTCAGCACACCAACCAATCCCCGTGCCTCCTTCCGGAGGGGGGGGCTGGTACGTTTGCCAACTTCTAGAGGCAGCGAGGGTACCGGCCATCCTGTGCAGAAA